GGTGCGGTGCAGCCTCTCCAGGTTTGGACAGGGGCAATCAAAGTCAAAGAGGTGGACAAGCGCTTGGATGTGGCCTACCACTGCCAGGTCAGTTTGGAGGAGCGCATGCTGACAGACGCTGCCGCTCAGGAGGCTGGGAAAAAGATTGCTGACCTGGCCCAGAATGTCACCGAGTTCATGGATTGCATGGTGCCTTTCATGGATGTTGAAGGATCGATCAGGAGGGCCTCTAGTATGGACGATGATGACATTGCCAAATTTGCAAGCTTGATCCCACTGGACTGCATGCACTCAATGCTGGTTGAAATTGCAAAGAGGATGCTGGAGGACTCGTTTGACAACGATGTTCAGTTTTTTGTGTCTGAATTTTGATGTTAAGATTTAAGATCAATTCAGTCATCATTATTGTAAGTAATAGTACACTTTGAAATAAGGCTTGATCATAGAAGCAAAGATAGGTAGTGTTTGCACTCATGTTCCATGCACCATAGTCGTACCCATACTGTACCCCAGGGGACTGGACCCTGTACCGTGTACCCTGTACCCTGTACCGTGTACCCTGCACCTTGTACCCAGTATATGAACCAGTACACATCCTATACCACGTCTGTGTGAAGTGCTGTAGGAGAAGAGTGGGGACATCTTTCCTGGCACGGGCTTCTTTCGGTATATGTTGCTGAGGGAACCTCCTTGCGGCAATGACTCATGCTACACTGGGCTATCCCTGCACAAGCTTTTGAACAAGGGTCTGCGTGTGCAAGAGAGCTCATTGCTTCAGGTGCAGGCTGCCTTGTTCAACGTTTGGCTGGACTTGTTTCAGAAGACCAACGACCCAGAGAAGCTTCTGCTAGGCATCCCAGATCACTTGTGGAAACCAGAGATCCTGAGGACAAGAGTCGCTGACACATAATATAAAAAATTTTAAATAACTTTATAAACTATATAATTTGTGATTTGTAATGTCATTTAACAAGATTTGGGGTGTCCAGCAATCCGGCATCAATGTCACTTATTGGCAATTATTGCCAATGCCAATAACAGACAGCTGCCTTTGCTACCGGGCAAAGAAAAGCAACGCCTGGCAGGACTCTTTCAGAACCAGTGTCAAAGGTCACGCTTGACGATCTCAGCGCGAGCACAGGCCTTGCCAGCAAGTTTCTTGTGGACATCCAACGCTTTTTGGCGCGCAGAAAGGTTGCAGTTCAAGAGCATTTGGTGACCCCGTCGATGGGCAATGAGATCAAGCTCATAGTTGCCAAAAGCAAAGGCCTTCACACCTCGCACTAATTTGATGTTCCGCTCCAACAATGCTTTGAGGCCTGGTACTGGAGTGAAAGTGTGTTTCAATTTGCCTCAAGGGCTGTTGAGTTTTTCTTTTTTCGGGGCATTGGTTTTCTTGACAACAGGCGGGATGTGATTGCCACCTAGTGTTTGAAATCCTCCAACTTTTCTGTCCTTTTTCAGGAGCCTGTGGAACTCTGTTGTGGACATCGGCAAGCAGCAGGTGACTTTGAAGCAAGCTTCCGGTCTGGCAAGCAAGCTCATTCCAGCCCAGTCCCGATTGCTTGAGTTCTTGGAGAAGAATTCTGAGAGTGGCAACCTGGACATGCAACAACTCCAGCCTTTGATTGAGAAGTGCAAGTCGACTCAGGATGTGCTTGATGCTTTGGCCAGTTCTGATGAGGACACAGACATCAGGACCAAGGTTTCAGATGGAACGCAAGCCATCACAAGCTTTGTGGTCAGCCAGGACTGGTTGAACCTTCCACTGAGTGACATCCTCATCGAGCTCTTCAAGGAGAAGTCGTCGCTCAAACTGCAGATGGAAGAGTCCCGAGTGACTCAAATGAAGAAGGCAGTGTGCGCAGGCCGGTTCTGTTTCGTTACCTTGGGAGGAGAGTTGTTTTTGCTCTCCTTTGTCTGAAGCGTGGGGTCAGGAGTCATGGAGTCAGAGTCATGGGCCGTGAAAGGTTCGGAACATCTAGCAGTCTCGATTGATGCAGTGATGATGCAGTCAAAAAACACAGCTCTCAGCTCATTGCTAAACCAAGCAGTTCCCTTGATAGGTGATGTCCGTGCTACTCTGAACAAGGGTCAGTGCAATGCCTCTGACATTGCGAAGTGCTCCATCCTGAAGATCCTCCTGGAGTGGCGTCCAGCTAGTCTCACAGAGGAGCCTTTGTTGGAGAAGTGCTGTAGTTGGGTGTTGCACTTGACATTGAAGCCAGACTGGCTTGATGCAGCAACCTCAGCGTTCCGTGAAGCGGAGGCTTTGATCTCTACAGCTGGGCAGAAGTGGGCATCTCAACACTGGGCAAACTCTGGCTCAGAAGAAGTTGCTGTGGTCTTGGGTGCATGCCCATACTTGCCGTCTCAGTTGCAAGACATCTTGGTTCTTGCAAAACACTCAAGCTTGCTCCAGAACATCCCAGAGGTAAAGCTCTTCTTGAAAGAGGAGGATCAAGTGAAGGACTTTGGATGGCTTGTGAAGTACACCAAGAAATGGCTCAGCCTCAAGACAATGGACATGGACTCCATTGCCACTTACTTTGACCCAGCAACAGTCGACAAAGTCAAACGCTTCATGAGTCATGAGTGATGTTGAGACACACCTCTCCGACATTGTGTCAACGGCCATGAAGGCTAAGGATGACATTGCCAGTATGGTGGACAAGCACAGGCCAGGGACTGGGACGGTGAAATTGTTACTCACAGGACTCCATGACTCCGGGCCACATTTAATTTTTTCAGTGTAGTGGCTTTGTTGTCATCGTCACTGGTTTCAGCCAAACTTGAACAGGCCTTTGCTCCCAGCTGTTGACGCGTGGGCCATGACTGACGTGCAGTGGATGTACACTGGCGCAGATGTTGTGGACTCTGACTGTACCAAATTGGTGGAATGGAGGCAAAAAGCACATGCCTTGGAGGACTTTTTGCAGAGCGTTCTCAGCGTCCACAAGTTTGATGGCTGGAAGGAGGACAAGCTGCGATCCAAACTTGCTGAGATGCACAAGACCCTTCAGGACTGAGTTGGGTCCAAGTGTCTATCATCTGTCAGTTTCATCAAGGATTTGGGTTAGGGCCACAGGCATTGGTGGCTGTTGGGTTGGGTCCACTGGATCAAGTTCTTTTAAAATCACAGCAATCCCAAGACCTCCATAATTTAAATTTGATTTTGGACATGTGAGGACGTTCGCAAAGAGATTGGCTACATTTGCAGCTCACTCTTGGTGGGGGAGTTGATTGTCACCTCAGATTCATATCCAGATCGGGTGACAGCTGCACGGAAGGCTTGCGCGGCTTTGGTGAAGGAGTTGGGAATGACCAGGACAGACTTGAGGCCTATGCTGCAAACCAAGCTCACCGAGTTCATTCAGGATGAGAACAATGCTGGAGAGTACTTCGACAAGAACTGGGAGTTGGAGTGAAGGGGGTCTGGGTTTGGGTTTGTGGAGGGAGATTTACATGTTGACTGACTGACAGACATATTTCCTTCTAGCTGATTTCTCCCTGGTTGGAATACCTTTTCATTCATTTACGCCAGGATTCAGGATGTTTTGTGGTAGTTGTGTGCTGTTGAAATGGGTTGAGGGATTTGTGGCTTTGGTACAGGCAAGTGCCTCAAGGGACTGCGGGGTGGGTAATTGTTTTGGCTGAGGCTGGGAAAGAAGCAGAAAAGGGGCAAAGCTCAGACTTCCAAAGAGCCGAAGAGTAAGGCAAAGGCAAAGGCCGTGTCGCGGCAGTAGAGACTGAATTTTCCAAAGCTCTACCTAGCGGCTTGAATCTTGAATTTTGATTCGAGCCTCGCCTTCCAGGCTGGGGAAAGCATGGGGGGATAGAGAGGCTCAAATGAACATGAGACCAGCAAAGACGCAACTCAGCAGTCAGCTCGCAGCTTCAAAAAAGAGTATTTATGTATGCGGCATGCGGCATGCGGTTTTTGCGAGGGAACTCAGCGTGCTGTGAGTGCATCTTATCAGATTCTTAGAATCCCAAAGACATATTCCAGGATCATTTCAAGATTATTTTGAGAATAGTCCAGGACTATCTTAGGAATAGTCCAGGATAGTTTAGGAATAGTCCAGGATAGTTTAGGAATAGTCCAGGAATAGGTCTAGGAATAGTCCAGGATAGTCCCAGGCCTCAACAGATAAAGAGGCCTAGGCAGACCCTAAGGATTGTTCAAGTAATTATTGTTGAAATGGTATGGTAACAATACTGGAAAAATGAACACATCAAAAAAAAGCCGGATGGGCGACTCGACATTGAATAGTAATTCTCTTGCGGATGGTGGTGGAATGAGAAAAGGATTCTCTTGCTCCGCTTGTCTCAAGTGTGTTTTTGATGGCGTCAGTATTTGGCAAAAAAGAATTTTGCTGGTTTCCTTCAGCTCATACTCGGTCGGTCATCGCAAAAAAAGAATTATCATGAATTGCCGCAGCTTACCGGCGTGCAGTTGCTTCAAACAAATTCACTTGCCATGGGCCTTGGGGTAAAGTGTGCAAGGGATATAAGACATGCTGTTTTGTCTTGGGGGCAGCTGAAGCACGTGGGCATACTCAGTCAGAAATGCTCACGGCGAGGCGTGTGACAGTGAATCAGTTTCGCGACATTGTGATTTGTCAGCGCGTTAGTGAAAACGAAGCTTTTTGGCCTTGCCCGCTATGGCCACCAGATGTACAGGAGTCTCTCGGATGTCGGTTGCTGCTAGTTTGGCAGTGTTTTGTATCCGGGGTTTGTTCGGTCTTGTCAGCCGTTGTTTGTTCGATCAATATTGCTGAGAGTATTGGACTGACATTTTGCGCGTACTGTAAGTAGGACACAGTAGGACAATGAACTTATGATCGCTACACTGCTCGTTTTGCTCGCAAAAAAATGCACCAGGTGGTAGATCCGGGCATGTGAAAACAATCCCATGCTGCTATAAGTGTTCACAGTGTAATTATGCTGGTAACGAAAAGGCTGGTGAGAATCTGATGCATGCCGCACGCCCTGGCGAGGTACACATCCACTTACCAAAACCATATGACACCGATTTTGACCATGACCTTGCAGAACCTTTTTTGCAAGGAGGTGGTGTGGCCAAGTAAAGCCACCATGACGAACCAGGTTCGAACTTATATACGCGCATGAATTTCATGCGCCAAGGAATTGGCGAACTATGCAATCCATGACCTGCACGTGTGCCTTGGCTGCAACAGGGTCTGCATTGTTGTTAAAGACGGGCTTCAAGGAAGCCTCCTCCAAGGCAAGAACCGCACTTCAGCATGTTGGTGAGTGGCGACCCTTGGTCACATCATTTGTGTATGCGAAGAAATATTAATATATAAATATACTGTAGTGTGTTTCAAGAACGCGACCCTCTTCGCCGGATGGAACTCCTTGTCTCTTTTGCCAAAAAGTCCTGCCTCGGTTTGATTCCCTCCTTTTGCCGTCTCGCGGCCTGGCCTTCACTTTGCGCATGTGTTCTTGGGGTTCCGCCTGTCACAGTTCAAACTATTCATGGGTTTTCAGATTACAAGTGTATGCCAAGCTATGCTGTCACATTTTGATTGTGCTTGCGTGCTTTTGGTGTGATGGGGGTTCGGGGTTCGATGAAAGCAGCGCAGCAGTCTGCGTCAGAAGAACGCACAAATTTAAATGCTCTCTGCTGCGCTTTCTTTTTGGTGGGCTGCACTGGCAGTGTTTGCGCCCAACTACCTGAGTTTCTACTCAGCTGTATGACTTGTCTCGAACCCATTTTTCACCAACAGCAAAGCTTAGGGTTCTTCAGCCATAGTAAAGACTTCCTGAGCAGATCGGAGCAGGTCCCGCAGGAGCAGGTTCCCGAGCACGTTCCAGAGGAGGCAGACAAGGTTCCGGTTCCGGATCAAGTTCTGGAGCAAGTTCGGAACAAGTTCGGGAGCAGGTTCCGGAGCAAATTCTGTAGCAAGTTCCGGAACAGGTAGCAGGTTCCGGAGCAGGTTCTGGAGGAGGCTCCGCAGCAAATTCTGGACCAGGTTCCAGAGTGTTCCCCCCAGCAGTTGCTAGGTTGAGGTGCCGGAGCGGAGGTGGCCACCTTGCAGATACGGTGTGTCTCTCTGAGGTGCACTGTCACGCTGATATGCTTGTGGGATCTTGTGGGGTCAGGCTGAGATTTTGTCATGCTGGCGTGCCGGCATGGATCACACTAAGAGCCTGACATGCTGACGCATGAGATTGATGCTGAAGTCGGATCATGCCGTCGTGCTGTCTTGCTGGCAGGCTCCAGAGCAGTTTCCGGAACATGTTTGCTGGTTCTTGCTTGTAGTGGCGGTGTCGTGCTTGCACATATGTTTGCGGGCACATGACATATGCTGTGCCTGCCTATGCCGCATTGGTATGCTCGCCTGGCACATTTAAAGGGCTCACTCTTTTGAAGGCAGCATTGTCTGGCAAAGATGCGACACTTGTTTGTGAACTGGCGACGGCGCCATTGCCTAGCAGGCGGATTTTGATGTCCAGCTGTTGGGGACTTTTCTTGGGCTTATTTGTTCCAGATGTGGACATCAAGGAGCTTGCTAACGACGCTTCCTGGTGCAATTTTCCTTTCGTGCTTTTTGCTTTGCACTCCTCAAGGTGAAGCGCTTTGAGGTGCGCATGGCCAAGAGACGCTTCAATTGCATTGAAGCGAGGAGCTATTTCCGGCTTCAGCGTGCTTCGCCCCCACAAACAGCCATGCCAACTGGCTGCATATAGAACGCAATCAAAAGGATGGAAAAATGAAATGGATGCAATGACGAGTGATAGCCTGAGTGTCCCACGTTCGAGGTTGAAAATTTTGCGGGTAAGCCACTATGGCTCGGTGGAAGAAGCTTTGACGATTGAAGGCGTAGACAAAATACTGCCAGGGACCACAACGTTGGCAGCAGGTTCGGAGTGGCAGCATTTTCTGACGCATGCGTATGCGTGGCAATGGCTGTCCTCGAAAAAGTATTTTGCTAGCCCAGGCAGTTTTTCACGAGTGACCATTTTACTGTCGATCTTGTGGTCTTGCCAGTCAGCCATGGCCCCCCAGAATGCTTAAAGGTTGTTCTGTTGTTCACTTTTAATCCAAGCCTTTTCACCAGATAGCGAAGCTATGGGGTTCTTACTTCAAATAACAATGAGTTGCCCGTGCGCGCTTTCGAGGCAGGTTGCTGGAGACAGGTTGCTGGCGCCGGTGCTGGTGCTGGGTGCCGGGTGCCGGTGCTGGCGCTGTGAGCTGGCTGTGCACGTGGTGGAGACATGCTGGTGCTGGTGCCGGGCGCCAGTGCTGGTGCTGGGTGCTGTGCTGGTGCGGTGCTGGTGCTGGGTGCCGGGTGCAGGTGCTGGTGCTGGTGGTTGCTAGCGCCCGCACTAGTGCTGGGTGCCGGTGCTGGTGCTGTAGGCTGGCTGTGCGCGTGGTGGAGACAGGTTGCTGGTGCCGGCGCTGGTGCTGGGGTGGTGGTGCTGGTGCTGTACGTGGTGGCTGGTGCTGGGTGCTGGTGCTGGTGCTGGTGCCGGTGCTGGTATACTGGTGCCGGGTGCCGGTGCTGGTGCTGTGAGCTGGCTGCGCACGTGGTGGAGACAGGTTGCTGGTGCCGGTGCTGGTGGTGGGTGCCGGGTGCCGGGGCTGGCGCTGGTGCTATGAGCTGGCTGCGCACGTGGTGGAGACAGGTTGCTAGTGCTGGGTGGGTGCCGGGTGCCGGGCGCTGGTGCTGTGAGCTGGCTGTGCGCGTGGTGGAGACAGGTTGCTGGTGTGGGTGCCGGGGGCCGGTGCTGCTTCTGGTGCTGTGAGCTGGCTGTGCACGTGGTGGAGACAGGTTGCTGGCGCTGGTGCTGGTGCTGGCGCTGTGACGTGGCGCTGGTGCTGTGACTGTGCGCGTTGGCTGGCTGGTGCTGTGAGCTGGCTCTGCGTGTGGTGGTGTTGGGTGCTGGCTGTGCGCGTGGGAGACTGTTGGGCGCCGGGCTTGCGCTGAGGTACCGGTTCTGGGTGCTGGTGCTGGGTGCCGTGAGCTGGCGCGCCGGTGTTCGGTGCTGGCGCCCGCTTCTGACAGTGAAGTGATAACAACCGCCGCTTCGGACAGTGAAGGGTGGCAAACCGCCGCTTATAGCAGTGAAGGGCGACCAACCGCCGCTTCTGACAGTGAAGTGCCAGCTGTCATGGGCCGCTTCCAGCTCCACAGATGCTCCGCGTACTAAAGTTGTACTACGGCAGTTCTCAGCTTCCAGCGCCACAGATTGCTCCGCGTGCTAAAGTTGTACTACAAAGTCGCCAGTTCTCAGCTTCCAGCTCCCCAGGTTCCTCCGCGTACTACAGTTGTACTACAAAGTCGCCAGTTCTCAACCCCACCTCGCCAGATTACTCCGCGTACTGAAGTTGTACTACAAAGTCGCCAGTTCTCAGCTTCCAGCTCGCCAGATGCTAGTCGCGCTGGATACTGCTTGGCCTTGGGCGAGTGAAGCCTACGGGCTTTGCTGTTTGCGCGCATACTTTTGTGCGCATAAACTTATACGTGTAAGATCATACGTTGTTGTTCCCCAAATAGGGATAGCTATGGGGTTCTTGCTGCAAATAAGAACGAGCTGGCTGCGCGCGCTTGAAGGGTGTCGGTGCTGGTGCTGGTGTTGTGGTCCTGGGTGCTGGTGCTGTGACCTGGGTGAGCGTGCGTTTAAGACGGGCGGCGGCGTTGGTCGGGTGCTGGCGCCGCTGCCGGTGTTGTCAGCTGGCAAAGTGCGCCGGCGCTGGTGTCAGCTGACTGCGCGCGCTGTGGAGGCGCCGTAAGCTGGCTGTGCAGGCTGCGTACAAGAATGCCAGTCGCATGTCAACAGGTCGTCGGATTCTGCCTGGCAACAGGTCGTCGGATTCTGCCTGGCTATCTGGGTCTATGCTGGTGTAATTTTATTCATATCCTGGGGCTCGGTCTCATAAAACTATGTTCTGAGTGTACTGGTTGTTTAAGAGGCTAGTAAAGATGTATCATACTGTTCACATGAATGAGATTTGTTATGTGATGGCGTGGCGTTTCTATCACGTGAACATCTTCTTCACATCAACCACTACCCCTCTTATTTCGTTGCTTTGCGTGTTTAGGATTTCTGGAAGTATGTGCAAAGGCATTCCAAAGAATTTCAAGCATGCCACTTGACCCTGCTTTGGAGGTCTCAGCACGTTTCAGCAGCTTTATGGTGCTTCAGACATGAGCCAAGGCATGCAAGCAACGAAACAAGCACAGTCAGACGGCGCGAATTCATGCTTTCTCCAGGTGTTGTAGTTTTCGAGCTTGAGCCAACAGAGAAGGGTGCTCAGGCCGTGTGGGCGGGACACGCTTTGCCACTCTGCAGTTGCTTTGTTGAAGTATATAGTAGATGTTTTGAGGAGGGTGTTGAGATATTTCCACGGTTGGTTAACAGTCTTCACAAAGCTAGACATGCGGAGATCATAGTCTAGACACAGCAAACTATCGAGCCTCATGTCAGGCTCGGCGAGCAACCACGCTGCCCATTTTGCACAGCACTGCATCAGTGTCTACGAAGCAGAAGGTGCAGGAACAGCTGCGAGTTCAAGCTGAATGGCGCTACCCTACCAGCGCCAAGGAGACAGCCTTGCCCAAGACTGCAAGATTCTGTAACACACATGTCAAACAGGACAAAATTTGCATAATTGATTTGTTTTGTTTTGACTTGACGGGCTTTTCTTGGGCATTATCCATCCGCCGCCACAGGGATGTGGGGAACTGAAACTTGAAGCGCGGTGGGACACATTCCTCGGTGAGGTGAGACCAAGTTGGTGCCTGGGCGCATGAACTAGAGTTGAGTTGAAAAGAATTATGTCCAGACTTCAAGTGACCTTCCACACCTTCCACTCAACTTGATGCTAAATCCTAAGTCCTGGGCAGCACAGCTTGCTTGTTGTGCAATGCATACATCAGTGAGCCTTCACTGATACCCTTTGTTTGCGTGTAATCCAGTTGGTGTTGTTGGTGCCGTTCGGGATATTTGGTTGCTGTTTCAGTGTCGGTGCTGATGCACATGTCGGTGTCGGTGTTGTTTGTTGATTGTTGCGCAGGAGTTGGGGTTAGCGTTGGCGACGTGGTCATTGTTGTTGTTGTTGTTGTTGTTGCGGCTGCTGCTGCTGCTGCTTTTGTTGTCGTGGTGGCGATGGTGATAGTGATGGTGATGGTGCTGGTGGTGGTGGTGGTGGTCAGGATAAATGCCGAGCCAGATTCTTGCGTAGCCAATCGGCAGCGTCTGGAATCACTGTCCTGCATCAGCATCATGCTTCCAGAATTGGAGTCGCGCTTCCAAAATCCGCAGTCAGAATCAAACTCCCAAGGGCTGATGCAAATTCGTCCAAAATCAAGTTCTGGGTTGACTTCCTCCCAGGAATTGATCCAACGCATGCACATGTTTTGATGGTGTCCCGGTCGTGTTGTGACGGTGTCCCGGTCAT